ATATAAGACAATAGTAAAGACACATCAAAAGAAAAAGTAAAAGAGGTGGAGAAAAAAGAAAGGAGAAAGAGAACAAAGGAAGAAAATAATAGTAGAGAAAGAATGAATAAAAACAAGGGATGGGAAATAGAAGAAAAATAAAAGAAAGGAAAATGTTGAAGCAGGGGTCAAACCAAGAAAAGAGAAAATTGTGAAGGCCAGGGCATCTAGTTTGTGTTGGCATCCCACAGGATTGTCGGGAGAGTTGAGAGGCTGGTGATTGGTTGGTTGCCATGGTGTCGATTCCAACTCACGGTGACCCTGTATAAAGTTTCCAAAGCTGTGAATCTTTAAGGGAGCAGAAAGCCTCATCTTTCTACCATGCAGCAGATGACAGTTTTCAACTGTTGACCTTCAGGTTAGCAGCCTGACTCATAACCACTATGCTACCAGAGCTATCAAACATGTTATTTGTGGGTTGTTTTTTTTTATATCTGTTTTGTTCTGTTTTCTGCTTCTTAATTGTACATCTTCTTATCTTCCTCATGTTAGGGAAGTTCTTTTTCAACAACTATTTTAGCATTTTTCTGTGTGGTGCTGTGGGTTAATGCGCCAGACTGCAAAGCTGTTTGAACTGCAAGGTTTGCGGTTCAAGCTCACCAGCTGCTCCTTGGAAACCCTATACAGGGTTGCTATGGGTCGGAATCGACTCGATGGCACTCAACAACAACAACATTCTTTTTTTGTTTGTCTGTTTACCTATGATCAGGTGTAAGCTGTAACTCTTGATAGGTCTGATAGAGAATGAAAGGGTGGGACTCTAGATAAATTCCTATCATTTTAGTGTTTTCTATGGTTCAAGCAACTAATCCAGAAGTACTCCATGCCAGCTCAGATGGTGGATGAACTCAGGGTCCTGGTTCCCAGAAGAAACTCTTTGGGGACCATAGGGCAACTGGAGGGCAGGATATCTGGTTATGGATGGAGTTCCTGCTCACACAGGGGTACCAGGGACCCAGCACTGAACATTTAGTTGCTCCAATAATGTAGGGTTCACATGTCTTCAGACAAGGGGTTGGTGCACCTTGCATCTTATTTGCAATGACATAGCTCCAACTACTGGTAGAGTAGGGGCTATGCAAGGTGGGATGAAGATGAGGGCTGGCCATCACCAGGAGTGAGTGAAAACAAGAGGGAGTCACATCATTCTTGTTGCCAGTCGTTGATGTTTCATTGGTGTGTTAGGCCACTGTGTTGATAAAATGCTGTTTGCAAAAGTTCAAGATGGTCATGCTGCATCAGACCAGATGGCAGTTCACCCATCTGTCTCGTCTCTCACACAATTTGTTCACTTTCTTCACGTAATCAGTTTTCAATCCAGTTCTCTCTGTCCTTAACCTCTGAAGTTCAGGATTCCAGGATTATCATCTGTATCTGTTTTTTTTT